TATTTGTTTGTATCAGAATTATCAGAGACGAAGCGTTGGTCTAATATCATATAAGCATTATTCAATTTGATCTTCCCAGAGAATAATATTTTGCACAAAAGTACCAACAGTATGCAGATGAAAAGAATAAGTGTTGTGACGCATACATGACGTCACAGTTCGTGAAGGAATTCCGACAAACGCCGACCTACATGTATGTTGTTGCAGCTGAATTTTCCATTAAACACTCTAAGTGTTTGTTCATCAAGGTTTCTGTTTGAAATTTATTGCCACAGTTGCTGTAAAGTAATGCAGAAACCACCACACACCACACATTAGAGTTACCGAAGTACGAAGTATTTAAAATTACCAATCGGTAATTGGTTTCCCCAAATAGACTAAAAGAACGGGTTTGAAAGAATGTTTTCTTTCGGGTAAAGTGGTCGCCAGCAAAACATGGCCCAACGTAGATTCAATGCCGCAGGCAGTCGATCAGAATACAGTATTCTAAAAAGTTATCAATGACTTCAATCAAACTTCAGTATTTTCAAAGGTTTTCAAATAGTTCAATAAGAACGCAATATTCTAAAAAGTTATCAAAGATTTCAATCAGAATGCAGCATTATAAAACAGTTATCAAACAGCATTACATTCAGTAAGTATACTTTTCCAAAAAAGAAACGCATATCTCAGAAATCTGTTGCGAAAATGTTGTTTTTTTAAACATGTATAACTCGTCCACAAATAGAGTTTAGTACATGCATTTTACATCAGTTTAAAAGAAGGTAACGTCTATACAACCATGTGTATAATTTTAGTTAACGGAGACCTTGAGCGCGATGGTGACAACGTAGTACGGTCCCGATGTCAGGTCTCCTGGCTCTCAGTCCAATCTCTCGCAACCTGTTGCGTACCGTTTGACAGGATATCCTCCGAAGTCCGGGCACCCTGGCTGTTGTGCTCTCACCCGTGGCAGTACGATCACGCACATGTAGTACCCGGATGTACCGATCTTGGTCTGCAGTGGTGACTCGAGGTTTGCCTGTACGGGGACGGTCATTTGTTATACCTGTTTGGTTGTAACAAGCTGCAGGCTGTGATATCGTGCTCAGACTAACATTCAAACGCCTGGCAAGAGAAGATTGGTAATCTTCAGCGTGCATTCTTTCAATGGCGACGTTGCGTGTCGCAGCGTCAAGACGTGGCGTAGTGATTTGACCTTGAAACGTCTTCAAAACGAATGTCGATTTCCGAAAGTAATCTTGATTTTTATAGCCAGACAGTGCATGCTCTTTGGTGCACAATTTCAACCTCAAGGTGATTTCTGTTGCGTTGTGGCGACGCCTTTTTAATCCTTGTAAGAAATCTCATCAAAATCCACATTTTCAGGTAAACTCGATTTTTTGACTTGCACAATTGTGTAAAATCATGTTATCAACACTTCTGTTACATATTTTGACGATTGTTTGGACACAATAGGTAATTAATAGATTTATATAAATACAAAATGCCTATGCGTTTCCTTTTTGGGGATAGTATACTTTAAAACGTGTTCTGCTAGACATGACATTTCCAATTATGAGTGAGTGAGTGAAGTTTTACGCCGCACTCAGCAATATTCCAGCTATATTGCGGCGGTCTGTGAATAATCAAGTCTGGACCAAACAATCCAGTGATCAACAGCATGAGCATCGATCTGCGCAACTGGGAACCGATGACATGTGTCAACTAAGCCAGCAAGCCTGACCACCCGATCCCGTTAGTCGCCTCTTACGACAAGCATGGGTTATCCAATTATGAAGCATCAGTGACAAAAATAATCTCTGATAAATTCTCAACTTTGACTTGTACCATAGGTGTCCGTAAGTTAAGGTGAACAATTGACTTGGCCATGCATGTGTTTGTGACGGGTGTTCCAGATGGGTCAGGATCCACAACCTTTAGCAAACGCCTGAAACCACCACTACTTTACAGCGATCGATAAACACGCTCACATTTGAGTCGCGTTTGTTATGACTGCAAACGTGTGTTTTTATGTACACGTTTCCAGGCTTGAGAGTGAAATTCCCAACGGATTACCAAACATCCACGTTCTGATAGATGAGTGGATATTGGGGTATTTCAGTGTATTTACGGTGGTAAACAAATCTTGTGCTGTAACATGTGTCAGAATAATGTAGCAATGTCGTCTTTGTTATGTCACTTTGTACTCATCAGTAATCGATCGATGACGTGTCAAGGGAGGGTCTGGATTGATGAAGCTTATGTATCACTGGGGCGGATACAGCTTTTGGAGAAGGGGAGGAGGTGTGTGTGTTTGTGTAGAGTTCATTTTCACGAGAGTTTCAATGGTCATTTAATAAACTCTCAGGACAAAAAAGGGTGGGTGTGGGTCCGCCTATGTATCAGATCTGTGCACTGTTATAGATTTTTGACAGCGTCTGTAGACAAGGGAGTATTTGTACAACCTTAGCGCTAAGTCTATGTTGACGTATGGGACCACCTTAGCGCTAAGACTACCGTAAGTCTATGTTGACGTATGGGATCACCTTAGCGCTAAGACTACCGTAAGTCTATGTTGACGTATGGGATCACCTTAGCGCTAAGTCTACCGTAAGTCTATGTTGACGTATGGGACCACCTTAGCGCTAAGACTACCGTAAGTCTATGTTGACGTATGGGATCACCTTAGCACTATGGTTGTTTTGTACAACGGCACCCAGAACAGCGAGGGAACGTATTGAGGGGCACACCAAAACATTGTCAACCGATATCGAGGGGTGTATGGGGTGGTCCGAAGTATCTCGAGTACATCACACTCGAGGTATCGGTTGACTGATCTATGTTGCCGACCTTCATCCATACAGGTCTTCAATGCACGTCCGAAGCTCAATTGACTTAATTTGTGGAACAAAACTCATCCCCAGTGAAAAGCAACACAAGGTGCAGTCGACGTATACAGTCCGAGTTACTTCCCTTTACCCAATGCACTCTGATTAACATGGAGAATCTGAGCATGGGCGGATCCAGGAATTTCGAAAGGGGGCAGTTCAGGGGGTTTGAACACCCTGAACACCCCATTGGCTCCGCCAACGCAAAAGTCATTTTCAAAAGGGTGGGGGGGGGGGAAGGGTCGAACCCCTGAACCAACCCCACCCCCCCACCGGATCCGCCAATGCTGAGTGATACTTATGAGGGATATACTGGTAACCTAAGATATGTTCCGCATAAGCAGGCAACATGGGCAATAAATTTCCGCTCCTTAACCAATCAGATGCTTCGATTTAATGTAAGATAACATAACACACTGCGTACCCGTTTGGTGAAATCGAAACCTGGTCTGTGACGTGACGGGCGATGTTACACCACAGCCTTTGGTTGAAAGTGTGCATGTAATCGTTATAGGTCGGATTCTGAACCGAGAAGCTCTGCAAAATGTTTGAATCCCGCTGGGAGGTCCAACGGGTTTGAAGCAGGCTATGTCTAGTCAGTCTAATTGGATTAGGTGGTCCATACCATGAGAGTTGGGATTTAATGAGTCTTAAAGGTCACATGCAACCAAAAAATCAAACATAATTTAAACACAATTATCACTTCTTCATGACATATAATATGCATTGCTGATTATGAAAAAACAAATAAACAAAATTATAAGCGTATAATCGCAAATCAAAAGTGCAATATTTTGTACTTGGGTTTACCTCCCTCGAAACGAAGCAGCCGGGATACCGAACCCAGTCAGAGCGGGTGGGTGTGCACTCAAGTGTAACGGCTGGTTCATTAGCAGATGCCGCCTTCACGGCTCATTGTGTGTGTATATATAGAGATGTTGGGTTTTGTAAATACATGCTCATTTTTTGTGTATAACATTTTGCAATCAACAGACATCATAACATGTCATGTGTTCAACTATCACACCTGCCTGTCTGTGTAATTACATAATGTGACAGAGACCGAACTCGGGCCATAAATCAATGCATTTTGTTTATGGTGTATAGCCTGATTGGTGTTAAGTTCAAACTGCATGTGGTCAGTGACCGCAGTTGTGTATTGAATATTGTCATTAGCAGACAGGCAGGCAGACACACAGGTGTCAATAAAACAAGACATTGAGTTTTGTCTGTGACAACGACATATCTATATCACAGTTAGAAATTGTGTCAACGCTAAATAATGACATTGCTTTTAAGTATCGAACTGAGAAAGTGACTCGGTAAGAAGAACGTGTGGTGAAATAGACAAATGAAATTATATTAACAGTTTATTTACTGTCATAACATATAAAAAGCTCGCGCCTGTGAGATATCAACAAAACATTATGAAAATAGCTCACACCAAAGCCTTCACCGAGTATTCACCAGACAGCCCGCTTCCAAGTTACGCGAACCTATTTCACTGCGCACATGCTATGAGCGCAGCCCAGCTGTTGAAACCCGTTTTCCCCCGAAATTTTCGGGGGAAAATAAGTGAATCGTTTGAACTCCGATTTCGCGCGGTTTTTTCTTTTTAAGTTGAATTTGCATTTTGGATGATTTGTTTCGGTAAGTCCATACCGAAAGGTATCACAATCTGCAAAGTTGTGTTTTACGTTGCATGTGACCTTTAAGCATTCTCATGTCAGTTGAACCATGATTGGATGATCACGATGGTCAGACTCGGTGGACTGGCTGGCTGCATGTCCGCCCGACGGCGTAGCAAACAGACAAGCAAACGTACAAGTAAACACAATAGCAGAAAAAACAACATCCCCCCCCAAAAAAACACACACTAAAACAACAACAACAAAAAGAATAAAAAAACAACAACTCCAAACCAAACAAAACCAAATTTAAACAATCAGGCAAATACATAAATGAATGAATGAATGAATGAATGAATGAATGAATGAATGAATGAATGAATGAATGAATGAATGAATGAATAAATAAATAAATAATGAATGAAAATGAAAACTAATAATTAAATAAATAAGCAAGCAAACAAACAGATGGTGACAATCATTTGCTCTTTTTCATATGAAGCTGCGGAAGAGAGCTCAAGTTCAGTCTGGGGATGTTCCGGAATATCAAACACACATCCATGGTCGTCAACGTCGCACTGCCTTTGCCACAGTCTGCATCGTCGTGTCCTTGTTCTTCTGTCTGTGTTATGGACCATTTTTGGTAAGATTTTAATTCACTTTCTTCTAAAACTCAGCAGAAAATGGGTACCCGGTAGCATAAGATACTTATTTGAATTAACTAAAGACCCTTTTCACATGGGAAACTTTGGTAATATATTTCCAAAGGGAGCTGATAATACAATGGATATGGTTACTGATGTTGTCGATTATCAATATTACTATACATCCACCAATCTATGTCAGTGTTCATGAAGAAAAAAGTATCTTGTAATGGGATAGTGTTTCCATAGACTGTGTACTTGAAACAAGTCAAAGAAAAGCCTATTCTTTCACCAGGTTTAAGACACTGACTATAATTAAATAGGGGACCATGAAATATTATTGTTAATACCAAGTATTTGGACAATAATAAGCGTTGACGACAAACGACGTTGACAAGAGCATTTACCAGCTTTACATAAATAAAATAGTTTTTAAACCTCATGAAACCTGTCAGTAAACGTACAAGTTTTGAGAATTAATTTACTCTGCTCTAAAAACCTCATTTAATACACCCCCATTCGCTATTATGTCTTTGTATTTGATAAGACCACCCACCAAATATAAGTCTGTCTACCCAGCAGTAAACGGGTACCAGGTAGAATGCGATGGGAGTGTGACAATACGGTAAACTAGCGCCTTAAACGACAGCTTCGTTTGTATACTATCCAGTGAGCTGAAAAATGAAATGACTCAACACTGATAAAACCGCAAAAAATACTTGAGATTCAGCGAAAAATGGAATCAAAAATACCTTAATATTGTCCACCATTATCAGCCATTGTGACCAGATAATCAACATTGTATAACTTGTTTCAGGTTCGTGTCTTGTACGATGTGATTATCAACGCAACAGATCAGAATGAGATGCGACACTCCGTTTCGCTATCTCTGCTATTTCTGAGCCCTCTTCTCAATCCAGTGTTGTACGGAATCTTCAACAAACGGTTCAGGGAGTGTTTCCTTGAAATTATTAAAAACGGTTATAGGAAGTTAAAGTGCAAGTCTTCTGATGTCAGCACTTCAAACGTCAACACGGTTACCAGACAAACAACGTAAACAATTGTATAACGACTCTACAGTTGATGGATCCATTCGTCGACAAAAATAATTTGATATTTGCTGAAACAAATCTTGTAAATAGATCTTCGTATATATTATTTTTGTGCATGTAATATTTTAAATAAAAAATCATTGTCTTCGGTTTTGTTTGAATGTTTTGTGAAATATTAGTTGTATCAATACAAAAGCCATTGTATTCTATAATTCAGCAGCACGAATGCAATGGCGTTGTACAGGAAAATATTAAGTTGTATTCTTAAGTCAGTGTTTTGGGTTCTTGCCGTAGAACCATCCATCATCAAAAATTGTGTGTGCTTGTAATTTGTTTCAACCAAATAAAGTATTATAGTCGTATTTTCAGGCTGTGGTAGTGCCAATGGTGTTTATATCTGTCAAATTTGAAATTTGAATTGTAAATATCCTCTAGGCCCAAGACATTCCAGAGTGAACTAAGGTTAGGTTCAAGACATTCTATGGTGCTTTGGGATTGTTTTCCAATAAAACCCCAATGTCAATATTTATAAAGGTTGTTTTTTTGTGACAAGTGTTTCAAAATATTGACATTGCTGTTTTGCAAAATAATCCCAAAATACCAGGTGTGTACTTGCCTTTGTACATCAGGTTAGTATGTACTGAGCCAGGGATTACGTTGGACCTTTTACACTGGGATACAAACTCCGGACTGTAAACGTCAACACTCCGGTACCCGGTCTGATATGAAGAAGTAAAGCATTAACATTTCAAGAATATATATACAAATTAGGAATACCAGTGTTGGTTCAGTTTGATGGATGGAACACGAAAACAACACATTCACTGCAAAAGTTGAAACACTTGATTCTCCCGGGATGGGTAAGATGTAAATATCTATAACATTCTTCGGTGTGAAGGTCAGTTGACCACAGTACAGCAGATACGTTTTGCGTATAACTTGGCTGCTTGGTTTGTTGTTTAACGCCACACTCCAGCAACATTCAACGGTCTGTAAATAATCGATCAGGACCAGACAATCCAGTGATCAACAGCATGAGCATCGATCTGCACATTTGGGATTCGATGACATGTGTCAGCCAAGTCAGTGAGCCTGACCACGGGATCACTTCCGACAAGCATGGGCTACTGAGGACCAGTTCTAACCTGGAACTTCACGGGTTTGCATGTAACTATTGATCAAACAATATTTCATTCTTAACAGCGTAATAGCTCAATATATTGTTCTTTCATGGACCCGTGAAGGTCCGGGTTAGAATATTGATCTTCAGTAACCCATGCTTGTCGTAAGAGGCGACTAACGGGATCGGGTGGTCAGGCTCGCTGACTTGGTTGACACATGTCATCGTATCCCAATTGCGCAGATCGATGCTCATGCTGTTGATCACTGGATTGTTTGGTCCAGACTTGATTATTTACAGACCACCGCCATATAGCTGGAACATTACTGATGCGGCGTTAAGCAATATTCACTCACTCACTCACTCACCCTCATGCAATCTAAACATGAGATAAGGTTGATAACATAACCCAGGAGTCCTTCCTGTCGAATGATGCAGAAACATATACAATCACGATAGCGTTTTTAATTTTCGTTTTTAATTTTTGTTTTTCCAATTTGTGACATGGCTCGTGTTTTCCATTATGGATCATTTGGCATCAAAGTTTCAAAATGCTCGGTTCGAGTGAATCATGCATTTTAGACTTACATGTCCATAGTGCCCGGAGCATGACGTCACTGTAACCATGGAAATTCATTTACCTCTTCTAGATGTCTGGACAAGCTGTACTTTCCCAGAAGTAAGGACGGCTGTCGCTGTGGTAGTGGGGTAAAAGTACCCACTTGAAATAGAATCACGAAATGTTATATCTAGCAGGTGTGTACCGTGCGTACATCCTACATCAACAGCACGGACTGAACCCAAAACACCCGTGCAGTAGTATTTAAACGTGATTGACAAAGTTCAGTGATAATTATAATCTGTCTGCCAATTCTACCCGGATTTCAGCTGTGTTCATGACGTAATACTCGCAATATATCCGCATTCTGTTTCAATTTTCTAATAATTTTGTAGTACTGATACCTATGACGTTAACAAGTGCGCCCAGACTATTTACCGACTGCCGCCTTATAGCTGGGATTTTGCTGAGTGCGGCGTAAAACTAAACTCACGCACTCACTCACTTTGTGCATACGCAGTGTTTCTAACGCACCAAACACGATTTTGGCCATCAGTCATGAACAAAAGAAATCAACTCCGCACAATGGTGTTTCCGAAGCGAATCGTGTTTCAGTTTCGTGGATTACGATTCTTGATGTTTTTGTTTGGAACACCATTGCTGGGTAGTTACTCTAATAGGAAAACGCTTCGAAACTGTGACAAGTCATTAAAAATTGTTTCAGCAGTTACCCCACTTCATGCTATACATCGATATTTAAGCTTTGCAGGTGTGTGCGATCATTTTCAAGATATCTTCAAATATCAAAGGTAAGATAGCAATTGATCAAGGAGACAAATCAAAACGAAGATGTTCGTTCACAAGTGTAACCATTGATCTTAAATAATACTGATGCACAAAAGAAAGTACACACCTGATCAGAGTTCTAAATTAACGTCGGTCCTTAGGCCCGGAGCTGACTGAAAACCACTCGGACCCACAGCTTTATTTTTCTGCAGGTCCTTATGGCTGACAGCCTTTCATCCCCAATAACTAAGCGTATTATTTTTCAGAAAAATATCATTCAGTAATTTCTAGTTTTTATCTCGATCAGCAGCTGTTGTCTGTAAGTGAAACAACTATCATTTTCGAAGAAGCAATTAGATTATTGAATTATGACCTATTAACCTCGGACACGTTCCTGGGAATTACCTATATTGTAGCTAGAATATAGGACCTACACATTCTGACCAGGACCCACAACTTGTTATGGTTCTGGGTCCTTAGGGCCTGCAGCTTTCAGAGTTAATGGCAAACACTGCACCTGATGTGATTATTTTCCAAAAAGGTACGTAAATATTTTGAAAAGGGTTTTTCTTGTGACTCACAAGTAACAAATATCATACATCAGTTGTGTGCCCGGTTATCTGTCCAATTACCGGTGTAGAGGTTCAGTCAACTTAAAGCTGTTGTTGGTATAACTCAGTTACTTAGAGCCTGTGACGTCGCTAACCAACAACAAAGTGATCCTAAAATGTTCTTTATACAATCAACATAGAAAGATCATGCTTAAAGCTATTCAAGATGTATGTGGTAGTAATTCTGTGATTACATTATCTGTTACTAGTATTTTAAACGGCATTGCAGATCTGACAAATCATAAAAATGAAATTATATTCAAAAATGTACATCAATATATATGCAAATCTAAACGATTCCAGTAGTCTTCTCTCTATACACCTTTTGTATTATAGCATTTCCCCCTGTTATCTTTCAGTTTTTCTCTGTCTCTGTTTCTAATAGTTGCTTGTGATGTAATTAGTTATTGTAAATATCTTCGGAGAGGGGTTTAATAAGTTGAAAGAACTTGTCCCCGATCCTTTTCACATTGTGAATAAAATATGTTTAAACTAAAAAACAATGTGGTCAATACCCAATGACCAAACAAATATCAGGAACCTACTCGTGTTTAAGCAGCATTATGTTTGCGTTGATCATCTCGCATTAGTGAGTATAAGGACGTACGTGTACGTTTATCTGAGTTCAGTTCCGATTATGAAGTGTTGTTTCATTACATCCTGGGCCCAGTTTCACAAAGCTATCGTAGCGCTACGACTGTCGTAAGTCTATGTTACAGTTTAAGAGGTACGACAGTCGTAGCGCTACGATATATTTGTGAAACGCGACCCTGACCCTGAACATGTAGCATCAAGATGAATTTCATTTTACGCACGGTGATTTGATTAGCGTGAATTCAGAAAATATACTCTCCCAAAAAAGAAACGCATCATGAAAATAGCAATTTCATATGGCAATGAATTAAAACGTGATTCATTTTACAAAAGGTTTTGCTCTGTTTATGAGTCCTATGGTGTTTATGTTTTGAAACATCACAACAAAACGCACCATCCGTAAAATACCCGCATTTAACAGCATGATTTTCAATTTCGGCGTGTAGTGTCACAGAATACACAATTCACATGCAATGCACGTGAAAGTTGGGGATCAGATAGTCTCAATGATGGGTATAAAAGGTTGATCGCTGTCTGTCGATTATTCACTGTATTTGGAATATTGTTGGCGAACGCAAAATGCCACGTCTAAGTGAAGCCAACCGTCATATCGCCATTGGTTTGCTTGAAGCTGGCTAGTCTCAACGTGCAGTTGCCCGACGCATGAATGTTCACCAAAGCACCATTTCACGGCTCTGGGAGAGATATCGCCGGCAGAATGCGGTAGCAGATGCCCCTCGTAGTGGGCGACCTCGAGGGAATCGCTACATCCGGGTACATCACCTGCGTCATCGAACAGCTACGGCGACCAGTACCGCTCGACAAATACCCGGATTGAGGAGGCTTTCTGCACAGACCGTCAGGAACAGGTTGAGAGAGGCTGGTTTACTTGACAGAAGACCTTATTTTGGCCCTGTACATCGAGTTCAATGGTGCACCGACGTTCGGGCCTGGAACCTACCGAATTGGCGTAGAATCTGGTTCAGTGATGAATTACGATTTCTATTGGAACGACGCGATGGAAGAATGCGGGTGTACAGACGTCGACGTGAACGTTTCGCCGACGCTTTCGTTCCCCAGGTGGACAGATTCGGCCGGGACAGTGTTATGATGTGGGGAGCGATCACCTGCCGTAGGAGGAGTGATTTGGTGATGATCCAGGGCAACCTGACAGCTCAACGGTACTGTGACGAAATCCTACACCCACACCTCCTTCCAATCATTGATCGCCAGAGGGAGTTGTTTCAATAGGACAATGCCAGGCCCCACACAGCACGTCACACTAGAGACTTCCTCCAGAACCACAACATCAATGTGCTCCCCTGGCTCTCAAGATCCCCGGACTTAAACCCGATCGAACATCTGTGGGATGCCCTGGACAGACGGGTGCGACGCCGTAACCCTCAGCCCCAGACACTTCAGCAACTCGCACAGGCACTACAGGCAGGGTGGGCTGCGATTGGGCAACACGAGATTCT